TTTCTAAATCAGATACATTAATACCTTTAAACACTAGTATAACTTCATTTCAGGCAAGTTCAAAAATTCAGTGTTTCCATTACTGTAGCGTCCAGAAAACCAAATTACAGTGAGGACTAATGAACAAACACATCACAAGTTATCTAGGTTACTGAGGGATACAACTGCTAGCAAATAGGTAGGAAGTGATAACAATAACAATATAACCAGCAAAAACTGATCTTTCACATTAAGTATTTGAAAACTGACCTAAAGTTCTTAGAGTCGTTCTTATACTTTATTCCAATACCTAAATGAAAGAGAATGCACTTTACCTGAACACCGAGAGCGCTAAAGAAAGCTTCAATACTTACAGGAAATAATGGTGGAGGCTTACACACAACATCAGGTAGAACTGCACCTTTAGAGAAGCCAATGGCTTCAATGTTGAACGTAAATGAAGCACGTCCTCTTCCTCTACCTGACCCAGCCATTTGAAGTTACTAAAAATATTAAAAATTTTAGCAGGTTTAATTTTTTATATATATGAAACACATTGCATATAAAATTATGAATAACACCCAATGTTTAGCAAGCACTGAAGTAATTTTAAAAGCACCCTCAAAGGTCATATAAATTTCAAATGTTTTTAATGCCCACCTTAGGTGCTATATATTTCATTAATGCTTTAAATAAAACTATTCCCCTCATTTCTACTAGATACTTTTGCAAGACAGAAATTAACTAATAATATATGCATTAATACTTTCTTCTTATAAAGCTCAGTGTATGTAGTGACTTGAGTTCAAACAAGGTAGAATCACAGAATCATTTTGTTTGGAAAAGACCTTCAGTATGATCATCTCCAAGCAACTAACACTATCCAGGTTAACAAGAAACCATGTCCCTAAGCACCGTTTCCATATGCCTTCCGAACACCTCCAGGGATGGTGGTGACTCTACCACTTTCTTGGGAAGCACTTTCCAATGCTTTACCAACACCTCCATGAATAAACTCTTCCTGATACCCAATCTAAACCTCTCCAGTGTAACTTGAGGTCTTTTCCTCACATTCTACCACTTGCAACCTGAGGAGGGTGTGCAGGGAGGGCACTTAGAGCTCAAGGACATGCCAGGGCCATAGCCACAGACTCACCCTGTACCATAAGGAGCAGGAGATGACTGAGAGGTGGGGCTAGGAGGGCTCCCTGCTGAAGTAATATGGTGTTTCTTTCACCCTTGGGCCAGCAAGTAACTGTGTGTGCTCTCTCTCTTTCAGTGTCACATCTTTCAGCTGCAGATCGGGCATGGTGGAACGACTTGCCCTCTACTTTTACTAGTCTACTGCACTGCAGGCTGGTCAGGGCTGCACCATTACAGTAGAGTTACCCCACCTGCCTCATCACTCATGATGGCCAGGCCTTTGCCCTGCCATGACTCGATGAATTCTGCTTTAGGTGCCTGATGTGCTGGGTGAAGTGGAATCCAGAGTGCTCTCTTTCCACAAGACCAATCATAACTATCAACTCTCATGCTGGAGACCTGATTTATGCCTCTAGCAGGAGCACTGGATTAGATGATCTTTCAAGGTCCCTTCCAATCCCTGCTATTCTGTGATTCTGTACCCAGTGGCTCTGACCCACTGAGCAGCCAAACCAGTTCTGGAAGCACATCCATTGCTCACAGCAACCACATAGACCGTCTGTGCTGAAACTGGGATAGGAGTGGGTGCAGCACAGTGCTGACTCAAGTTAAGTTGTGGCAAACAATTACATGCATTTTGGTACATAGCTAAATGCAGTCCTGTGAACAGTGAAAAATATGTAGCTATGGCTTCCATTTTGATAAAGGAATTTTGGAACAGGTTTCAAGATTGCTGAAAGAATCACTAGGTTTTTTTGTATATTTGTGACCCAGTTTTCAGTCAACATAAATACATTACCTGTGTTTTCAAATGGAATGTATGGAGTTGCAATCAGACATGTCTCTTTACCAGACTTGTATAAGCCCTATCTTAGCAGAGAGAAATACCCTTCCTTCACTTCACGACCATACCTTATTTATGTCACCACTTTTTGGCAGTACATACATTTGTGAACAACTGTTTTTGAGGATGAAACACCAAAAGAGAAAACTTCATCCAGAATCTCTGATGAACACCTTCAGATTCACTAAGAACTGCAGTTACTACCGTCAAACCACTGATGCATCATTTTCACAAAAACATGGTCAAATATCCCACTAGTTTTATGGTTTTGTTTCTCTCTTTTAATGTCTCTCTCTCTCTCTCTATATATATATACATAAAAGTTTTGTTACTTATAGTCATGAACTACATTATATATTTTATATGCAGCCCAAGATCACGTATAAAATCTTAAGTTTGGGCACCCATGTTAAGATCATCAAGCTTCATATTACCAAGTCTACCATCCAACCATGTCCCTAGGCACCACAACTACACGTCTTTTATTACCTCCAGGGATGGGGGCTCAACTACTTTGCTGGAGAGCCAATTCCAATGATTCACAACCCTTTCAGTAAAGAAAATTTCCCTATTATCCAATCTAAAACTCCCCTGAAGCAACACGAGGCCATTTCCTCTTGTCCTATTTAACCAAGCATATAAAAGAAAAAAAAATAGCCTGCCATTACAGTAATTTACTGCAAAACAGCCATAAATTTCTGTATGGCTATTAAAAAAAAAAAAAAAAGAGCCTGCATTTATAGCTACATCTCACCTAATCTCCATCTCTGCACTGTATGATCCATGAGCTGGCAGGTAGAGAAAAGTGCAAGAAACATTTTTTTTTGTGGAGAATGATATCAAAAGACAAGGTCCAAGACAGACCCAGTTTGAGCAAAGTGGCACTGCTCACGTCTCAAGACCACATTAAGTATGACTGACGAATCCCAGCCCAGAAATCCCATGTGAATACCAGTAATTACTAAGTATCAAATTGCAAGACTGTTCCAGACTTCCTGCTCTACCTATAACATCTCAGCTATTCTCAAGGCAACCCGCAAAAGACAAAGGTTTCCAAATAGGAAATAAGAACTAGCACAATACCTATAGGTTTTCATACAGTTGCCTAAGACAAGGAAAATTACTATTAGGAACAAAGAAAGGTCTACTTAAGATCCTTTCAGAATTTCCAAAATAGAAGGAATGGCCTTTTTATTAAATGTCAGTGAAGAACAAGTATTTTCTTATGTTTTATTTTCCATAGGAATATGCTCTGTTTGAAGGAAGCTAAATCATGCTACACATTTCTATGTCAGTGTGCTTCACAGAAAACTATCTAAAAAAAATCAGAATGTCCTACATAAATGATTGTAAGAAAGACAAGAAAAAAAAAATCTGAGTATTTAATTAAGTGAAGATAGAAAAAATACGTGAAATTCTTTTGAAAACAAGATGAGAAAGAAAATGTGAGCCTGGCAGAATGCAGAAAGATAAAAGATAAATTCCCAAACATGTGCAGATATCAAGGCGTGAAAAAAAACAGAACTGACAGAAAAAAAAAAAAAAAAGGAAGAAACAGAAAAGGACTTGATGGAAATTTCCAAGTGTGTGAAAATTGGTATATTCTTTGGATTAAATATATATATATATTAAATTTGGCTTTAAAATTAATTATAATATTTTCTTAAAATAATGAATTATTCTGATGAGAAGCAACAGGCTTTAAAATGAATCCTATTTCAACTAGGCAGTTTTACTAACACTCTTCTTTTAAGCATAGTAGCCTAACAGAAGTCTACTGACATCATAAAATGAAAACAAGAGATGAGAGGAGAAATCATAAAGGAAACAGTGACTTTGACAAATAACTTTACAGTTTGCTCACAGAAATATTAGTTGGAATTTCGTGTGGTCCTGTGTGGAGCTAGGAGCTGGACTTGATGATCCAGCAAAAGATCATCAGTTAGGACAATGAAGATGGTGAAGGGTCTGGAGACAAGCCTTATGGGGAGTGGTAGAGGGAACTGGAGAAGTCTGGAGGAGGCTCAGGGGAGACCTTACTGCTCTCTAAAATGATCAGAAAGGTGGTGAGAGGGGGGTCAGCCTCTTCTCCCAGGTAACTACAACAGGATGAGATGGAATGGCTTTAAGCCAATTTAAGTTTAAGGGGAGGTTGAGGGTGGATATTAGGAAAAAAATATATATTCTCAGAAAGAGCAGTGAGGTATTGGAACAGGCTGCCTCGGGAGGTGTTGGAGTCACCATTCAAGAAGCATGTGGATGCCGCACTGAAGGACATGGCTAGTGAGCACGGTGGTAATGGGTTGGGGTTGGAGTAGGTGGTCTTTTCCAGCCTTAATGTTTCTATGATCCTTGTCTAAGAACAAACTACGCAAGACAACGCTGCCATGAGAAATTAAGACTTCAAGGCTGCTAGGAAGGATGTTTGGCTGCATGAAGTTCCTTATTTACAGATAGATTGTCGCATTTACTCTACAAAAAAAAAAAAAAAAAAAAAAAAAAAAAAAAAAGGACGAGTTTCAGGGGTAAGCAAAAGCACAGTTGAAATGTGTGAAGTTTTATGTGCTGCAGAAGCTGCACCTCACGCAGCTGGGCAAACCCTCTGAGGCCACCAGAAGAGGCCAAAGCAGCTGCAGGCCTGTGTGGCAGCCAAACACCTGCACCAGCTCCCATTAACACACAACTCTGAGCACAGCTTCTGCTGTGTTCATTCTCTGAGACGGGAGCAACCAGCGGAAGCTGAAAATAATGGCAGAGCAGATAACGCACGGACATTTAAATGCGGGGATCGCTGATGCCACCTGCATCTCCTAAACGCGTCAGGGAAGTGAAATACCGACCGCGATGACAACACTGCAAGATGACAACAAGATTCGGAGCCTCTTCCCTCATTGCTCCCGTCCCGTCCCGTCCCGCGGCCCCTCTCCCTCCCATCGCCGGCTGCCGCCCCTCCGCTCCCGCTACTCACCCGCAGCCTCGCTCCGCCCGCGGCTGCCGCAGTGGGCCGGGCCCGGCTCTGCCCGCCCTCCCGCGCCCCAGGCCCCGCCCGGTCCCGCCGCGCGGACGGGCTCGGCGCCGGACGCGATGTCTGCGCTGGAGTGGTTCGCGCACAAGCCCTTGGGCGGCGGCATCTTCTGGATCCAGGAACGCTTCTACGAGTCGGGCAACCGGGCCAACATCTGGCTGGTGCGGGGCTCGCAGCGCGACCTGGTGATCGACGCGGGTCTGGGGCTGCGCAGCCTGCCCGACTACCTGCGGGCCGCGGGGCTGCTGGCGCCGCCGGACGGGGCCGGCCCGCGGCCGCTGCTGGCCGTGGCCACCCACGTCCACTTCGACCACTCCGGCGGGCTGCAGCACTTCGAGGAGGTGGCGGTGCACAGCGCCGAGGCGGCCGCGCTGCTCCGCGGCGACAACTACGAGGCCGTCACCTGGCTGTCGGACCGCGAGGTGGCGCGGCCGCCGCGGCCCGGCTGGAGAGCGCGGCAGTTCTGCGTCCCGCCCGTGCGGCCCAGCCGCCTCTTGCAGGAGGGTAAGCGCCGCGGGGCGCCGGCTCTTGTGGTTTGTGCCCTTCTTCCGGGGACGGTGGTGAGCAGCTCTGGTGGCGGGGACGGGGCCCGAGCGGGCGGCATGGAGCCGCGTCAGGACAGGAGCAGGGGGCAGGGGAAAGGTGAGGGAAAGGGGCTGCATGGGAGGGCGGTGGACATGACCTCTGCATGGCAGATCAAGGAGCGTTTGGACACCGCTCTCAGACACGGGGTTTGGATTTTGGGTTGGCAGAAACGTGCAGAAATACCTTCTGCTCGCCCAGTTTGTGTGCCTGTAGGAGGAGGGCATTTTTCCTAGAATAACAGTCAGCGGTACGCTAGGAGCAAGGATCTAGCATCTCAATACTGACTAATCAATGTCACACCTCAGTCAGTTCTGGCATCTGCTAACCTATGCTATTTGTAAACTGCTGAGGCATAACTGTATAAAGAACGAAATAGTTTATTTAACTGTGTATTGGAAAGCATACAGGTTTTGTTTAACAGAATCATAGAGTCCTAGAATGGCCTAGGTTGAAAAGGGCCACAATTATTATTGAATTTCAACCCCCCTGCTATGTGCAGGATTGCCAACCACCAGAGCAGGCTGCCCAGAGCCACATCCAGCCTGGCCTTGAATGCCTCCAGGGATGGGGCATCCACAACCTCCTCAGGCAACCTGTTCCAGTGCATCACCACCCTCTGTGTGAAAAACTTCCTCCTAATATCTAACCGAAATCTCCCCTGTCTCAGGTTAAGACCATTACCCCTTGTCCTATCACTATCCACCCTCATAAACAGCCGTTCCCCTTCCTGTTTATATGCTCCCTTCAAATATTGGAAGGCCACAATGAGGTTTCCCCAGAGCCTTCTCCAAGCTAAACAAGCCCAGTTCCTTCAACCTTTCCTCATAGGAGAGGTGCTCCAGCCTTCTGATCATCTTAGTGGTCCTTCTCTGGACCCGCTCCATGTCCTTCCTGTACTCGGGACCTCAAACCTGGAAGCAGTACTCCAGATGGGGCCTCACAAGAGCTGAGTAGAGGGGGACAATCACCCCCCTCTCCCTGCAGGTCACTCCTTTTAATACAGTCCAGGATATAGTTGGCCTTCCAGGCTGCAAGCACACACTGCTGGCTCATGTCCAGCTTCTTGTCTATCAGGACCCCTTCTTCACAGGGCTGCACCCAAGAGCTTCTTCGCCCAGTCTGTATAAACACTTGGGATTACCCCAGTCCAAGTGCTACAGCTTGTACTTGGCCTTATTGAACCTCATTAAGTTCACATGGGCTCACTTCATCAGCCTGTCCAGGTCCTTCTGGATGTCCTTCCTTCCTTCCAGTGTATCAACTGCACTGCTCAGCTTGGTGTCACCTGCAAACTTGCTGAGGGTGCACTCAATGCCATCATCTATATCACTGATGAAGATGGAGAAGAGCACCAGTCCCAAGACTGACTTCTGGAAGACACTGCTTGTGATCGGCCTCCACCCTGACATGGAACCATTGATCATAACCCTTCCATTGCATCCAGCCAACCAGTTCTTAATCCACTGAACAGTCCATCTTTCAAAACCATGCCTCTCCAATTTAGAGAGAAGGATGTGGCGAAGGACCATGTCAAAGACTTTGCAAAAGTCCAGGAAGATGACATCCATTGCCCCTCCCCCATCCACCGAAGCCATCACTCCGTCATAAAAGGCCACCAGATAGGTCAGGCACAATCTGCTCTTGGTGAAGCCATGCTGGCTGCCTCAAATAACCTCTTTATCTTGTATGTGCCTTAACATGGCTTCTAGGAGGATCTGCTCCATGATCTTCCCAGGCACAGACGTGAGGCTCACCAGCCTGTAGTTCCCTGGGTCATCCTTTCTCCCTTTCTTAAAAATGGGAGTATTGTTTCCCTTTTTCCAGTCACCAGGGACTTCACCAGCCAGCTATGATTTTTCAAATATACTGGAGAGCAGCTTGGCAACCACATCAGCCATCTCTCAGCTGGATCATCTCTCAGAACCCTAGCATGGATATCATCTGGCCCCATGGACTTCTATACATTCAGTTTCATGAGGAGGTCTTGGACTTGTTCCACTGTTATGGTAATAAGGAATCCGCTCCTTTTACCCAAATCCAGAGGTTCAGAGTCCTGGTAGACATGGGGAGGAGCCTGACCCCAGTGAAGAGCGAGGGAAAGCACTTACTGAGCACCTCAGCTTTTTCTATGTCTGAGGAAGCCACTTCTTTGTCCTCATTTGTCATAGTGATGCTGCAAAGCATATATAAAAGCACGAATGGTGCTTATTAAAAAACAAAACAAAACAAAAACTCACAAAAAAGGCTTTACCACATATCACAATTAATCTTGTCCATGGAATTTGCATACCAAATATGGATATGATGAAAGTATTTACTTGGGGGATCAATTTGAGTTTGTGATAACTTAGATTTTTATTTTCATGCATGACAGCAGCTAATGACAGCTAGTAACTGCACTTGAAATAAAAAATGTTCACATCACTTTCAGCACACCGCTGAAAGTTGAAATGATGCCTATCATGCTTCACGTTTGGTTTCTTGATAAAGGGCAAGGTTCTAATTAATTGTGCATAGTCAGCCTCTGGAGGACTGGTTAGTGCTGACCACAATGACGTGCAGATTTGCAGCTGGTGTGTTTCTCCCAGTAATTAAGAGATGTACATGTACATGGCTTGGGACCTGTATTTACAAATGAGTTCATTTGGTACCATTGGCAGATCTTACCCCTTTGATGGGATCATGGGAAATAGAAATAAAATATTTACTTTTATTTTTCTTTTCAGTTTTTAATTCCATTTCATGTGCAGCCTCAGCATAGCAACTACCTTTATTGAGATGATAAACAGTGTGTTTTAAGTCCAGGGTTGTAAAGACATTGACTTCTTACACTTGCAAAGCTGATCAGCTTAGTATAATCAAATTTAGAAGCAGAGCACACACACGTTTCTCCTAAGAAAGAGCAGAAAGAGACCTTTGTGCTCCCTTCTGGATACATTATGGTGGAGCAGGAACTTCCAGCAGAAGATCAAAAAGTCCTACTGGCACCATCTAAAAACACTGCCAGATGATCTGCTTTTAGAATCATAGAATCACCAAAGATCATCAAGTCCAACCATCCACCTACCACCAATATTTCTCCACTACACCATGTCCATTAGTACAACATCGAAATGTTTCCTGAATGCCTCCAGAGACAGTGATGCCTCCACCTCCCTGGACCTGTTCCCGCACCTGAGCATTCTTTCAGAGAAGAGATTTTTCCTAATGTCCAACCTAAGTTTCCCCTGGCACAATCTGGGGCCATTCCCTTTAGTCCTATCACTAGTTAAGCGGGAGAAGAGGCCAAGCCCCACCTCACCATGACCTCCTTTCATGGACTTGTAAAGAGCGATAAGGTCTTCCGTGAACCTCCTGCAGTCTAACAGTCAAAGTTCTCTAAGCTGCTCCTCCTAAGACTTGTGCTCCAGCCTCTTCAGCTGAACAATGACCAAAACCCCGAGATCCTTTTCCTCCACATAGTCTTCCAGCCACTTTGCCCCAAGTCTGTAATGTTGTCTGGGGTTATTGTGACCAAATGGCACTTAGCTGGGCTTTTGCTCTTCTAATTTTCTCTCTGCATATCCTACCAACATTCTTGTACTCTTCCTGAGTGGCTTGCCCCTTCATTCACATATGGTAAACTCTTTTTTATTCCCCCGAGTCTCAGCTGAAGTTCCCTGTTCAAGCAGACTGGTCTTCCCCACCAACTCATCCATCATATGGCACACAGGAACAACATCCACATGGTCGAGCTATCAGCATGGGACAGTTCTGCTTAGGCAGTAGCTGTGAAACAGCTCTGTCTGCCTCTGCCTGCCCACAGGCACTACAAGTGACAAGGCAGCAGAGACACAAAGTGTCATGGAATCATAGAATGGCTTGGGTTGGAAGGGACATCAAGGATCAAGCATTTCCAAACAACCTCCCTGCCATGGGCACTGTTGCTCGTTGTCACAAACCAATGGCACACTGAGGTGATGTTTTTTCTGATAAGGTTTTCTTATCAGTGAAATGAGTTGTTTCCTCCACCTGCAGAATGTGTAACATTGGCCCATGCACTGGTTTCCAAAGCATGAAAATACCAGTGGCAATGAGCACTGCACGATGTATTGCTTCTCCTGCAAATTTATCATGTTCCATGCTGCTATCAGACCATGATTCAATTCTTAGAATAAGTATCAGAATACTTCACACATAGGCTTTGATGTGTTTTTTTTTTTTTTAAGAAGATCCACGCAATAATGACTTTCAGAAGCCGGAAAAGCTGGATAAAATCGTTCCCATACACTGAAAGCGCACAACCACGTCGCTGCTGACGTTTCTCAAGGGTGACACAGGACACTCGGGCCGCGCCCTACCAAAGCCAACCCTCAGCCTGCAGAGGGCGGCACCTTCTGCGCTGCCCTGCGCGGTGAAGAAAAAAGCATGCCTACTCACACTCCCAAAATGGCGCCGTCGGCACCTGACTGACAGCGTCCTGAGCAAGCCCGGCCCCTTCTGCTGCCTCTCACGGAACGCTCCCTTCTGCTTGAGTGGCAGAGAAGTAGTCTATGAGCGTGTCAAGGGGGCGGGAGCAGATCCGGCTGCTAGCCAATCAGGCGCTGCGATGCGGCGCGGAGGGCGCGGGTTGGCGTTTCCACGGGGAAGGCAGCGCGGCGCGGTCCGGCCGTGGCGGTAGTATGAGCCTGTCCGTGAGGTACGTGTGGGGCCGGCGGGCAGGAGCGGCTGGGGTCGGGCTGCGGGGCTGCAGTGGTGGGGAGGAGGCGCTCCCGTGGGGCGGCCGGGCCTCGCCACCGCCGTGTTTGTGTCAGCATTAATCTGCGTTCGGAGCTGTAAGTGGGTTCCTCCCGGCTGCTCGTCCCGGAGCGGCGGCCGTCCCAGAACGGTGAGGTACGCCGTCACCGCTCGGCCTTGGTGTCAGGCAGAACCAGCCTGTGCTTCTCGTGTCCGTTTTTGGAGCCTGCCCGGTGCTGTTCATTGGTTGGTGACGGCTGAATCTCAGCTGCGTGGTTAATCTCTGGTGTCAGTTAGAATTAGATAATCTTCAGTGAGGGGGAAGAAAAAAACAGCTAGTTACGGGCTGTGGAAAATAAGCACCTTTGGAAGGCTGGCCTGTGTTCACACATCTGTGCACTGTACAGTAAGTGGTACTGCGTGCGTTCCGTCACTGCTGCAGGCAAACAAATGAATATAGATGGATTCCTGAGAGCGTGTTGAATTGCACAGCAGTCTAGGATTGGAAGATCCTCTGGGGAGTCATCTCGTCCAGTTCTGCTCAGAGCAGGTCGGGCTCCCAGCAGTACGAGGTTGAGGGCCTTTTCCAACACTGCTAACAGCAGAGATCCTGTGGTCTCCCAGTGCAGCTGTTCTGCTGCATAACCACTTGCACTGTGACAGTGCTTTCTTCTAGGTCTGCTTCCACCTTCTCTTACTGCTCGTAGTTGACTCTTGTTGCTGTGCACCACTGATGGGAACCTGCCTCTCTGCTTTGTCTAATCCTTTAGACAGTGCTTTAGCCCTCCCCCACTGCGTCCTTCTGCCAACACACTCAGATTGAAACAAACCCAGCTCCTTCAGCTCCTCCTGAACCAGATGCTGCAGCCACATAGGTATTGATTGCAGTATGCCGTACTTCAGCCATCTTCTCTGCATCTGCTGTACTCGGGCACCCCAGCTCAATGCGGTACTTTGGGTGCAGCTACACGAATGCAGAATGGAAGGAATTAGCACTGCAAGTAGCTGTGCTCATTGCTGCAACAGTTTGCTGTGCTACTGATTGCAGACCTCTGTGTCTGCATATTCCAAGGGTGTGCTTTCAGCCTTCTTAAAAGTCGTAGTTATTGCCTTGAATGTACTATTTTTTTAAAAGCTTGAGCTGAAATGGACATCTTTTCATGCAATTACACTGCATAAAGAGCAGTTGCTCTGTGAATAATACAATTAAAGCATGTTTTACTAGTTTGGTCTAAGTTTCCTTTATTTTTGCCATCTTCATTTTTTTTCTGATTGTTCCCAGTTCCTGAGAATTTTCTGTTTCTGTTATTGCTAAACCAGTGAGGGAGAAGAAGGTTGGCTTTGTGTAGTGTTTGTTGTTTTAGGGGACTTGACCCTTTTGTATGCATGTGAAACAGAGCAAAAAAAAGACTCTGGTTCATTATGTATATTTTAATATTTTAAAAATCCTTGGCATGTATGAACTGCTACTGGCAAAAAATCCACAGATTTATGTCACTTAACACGCATTCAGCAGCTGGACGACCCAGCCATATGCCTAATTAAAGCTCTGTCCCTTAAAACTTTCTTATTTTGCTACAGTTTAGAAATACGGTGTTTTTAGGAGTTGTATCATGTCGACTGCTAATCCATCTTGCAACTACAATCTCAAGCATTCTTTTTAACTGACAGCTTTTTCTAGTTTTGTTTGGTTGTTTATTAATCAGATCACCTCTGCTGGGCAGAGGGGTAGAGGAGCCATTCAACCTGTGCAAAGGAACTTGTCTGCTCAAGTATTACTTCAGACTGGGAGATCAAGTTGGGAAGAAGCTGAATGGGGATGGCAATGAACTGTGCAATTATAACGAATTTTTTATTGTTGGGAAAATGTAATCTACAGTGGTATCTTTCCAGTATTAATCAGTTGTATTGAATTTCCCCTCTTTTCATGTAGGAATGAGCTTTCAGTAGACAAAACTAAAAAGAAGAAGAGAAGAGAACTGACTGAGGAACAGAAACAAGAAATTAAAGATGCTTTTGAATTGTTTGATACAGACAAAGATAAAGCAATAAATTACCATGAATTGAAGGTATTTTTATTTATTCATCATTTAAATTTCTTTGGGGCAGGTAATATTCTTCTAAATGAGTTTTTAAGTCATTAACTCTATCTTTAAAAATGCTTCATGGTCAAGATGTCCTGGAAGGCTGAAGTGGGGATATTTGAAAAATTGCTGATATTCATTGAAGTAAGACTCAGCTTTTGCCCCTACATCCTATACTTGCTATAGTAGCAGAACTGCTGTAGCATATTGTGTAACTGATCTTTCTGCTCCCTAGAGTTTGGCTTGGGCAGATGAGTAAGCTTCATCAAGGACAAATACTGTCTTGTAGAGAGGTCAGCATTCCTTTAATGTATTGAGTAAGATACTTTTGGAAAAGAATATGTAATCCAACTTATTTGTTCCACAATCTTATTCAATCCTGTAATTGAAGAAGAGAAATGGCTTTTGTTGTACTTTAATTATTTATAGAGGAATGTTGTGAGTATAGTGATTCCCTCTTCTTTTTTCAGATTTTGGGTATTTTGCCTCTGCTGGAAGCTGTAGTGAGAGGGGAAGTACTGCAATTTTTTCCATTTAGAGTGTGCTTTGCATTCTCAGCTGTAATGATGGCAGAATTGTTTATTATCAGTTTAATTAAATATGGCCCTGAAGGTAACACAATGGAAGAACTGGAATGTATAGAGTAAAGAAATATCTCTTTTTGCAACATCAACCCGTAGGGTAGATATGAAATCGCTCTGTTGAATAGGATTGGGGCTTTTTATTTGCAGTTCAGTGTAAGCTTATATATTTGAATGTAGTCAAATTAGCATGTGCTGAGGAATTGCCATCTCTGTTGAAATGCGGAAACTAAGCATTAATTCCTAATCTAATGAAAAAATGGAATAACTTTCACATTTATGTAGTTATAAAGTTTCAAGTGGAAAAGTGATAATTTGAATCACTTGAAAGATAGCTTGTCAAATGGTTACTGTCGGTAATTTAAAGAATGATTTTCAATTTGATCTTTGAAAAAGAGACTGTACTCAAAATGGCTTTGAAAGTTAGAAAAAAAAATCTACTTCTAAAAAGCATATGATGCACTCTTTAAAGTTATTGGAAACCTGAAAGCTCATTTTTCACTGTAATTTGATATTCTATTTATTAGTGCCTGTTTTGGGTGATTTCATTTTTTTTATACAAAGCATTTTTGGTATTTTAATTTTATTTATTGTTGTCACTGTCCCACTGGTGTGCACACTATGTCTTAGGCAGTAATGTTCTTATTAAAAATAAGAAAAAATCTGTCTTAAATCTCTATTTTAATATTAGCATTTGATTGCACTTTCGTTTTATTCCAAAAGGTGGCAATGAGAGCCTTGGGTTTTGATGTGAAAAAAGCTGATGTACTGAAAATACTTAAAGATTATGATCGAGAAGCAACAGGCAAGATCACCTTTGAAGATTTTAATGAAGTTGGTATGTATTTGATTTTATACCTTTAGAAATCTACCTTCAGAGAAACTTAGCTTGCAGTAGTGACTGCAGTTTTACCAGGAGTACTTTGTGTGTTTTGTAGTTACCTAGTACTATTAAGAAGGAGAGATGGGAGATTCAGTGTTATATTTCTCTTTATAAACTTGCATAGTGGAAGAAAATAATTCTTTGTGTATACGTAGGGATGAAAGATCACAGCAATATGAAAGGAAACAAATTTCCACAAAGCAATAAGTAGTAATTTGAAATATAGATATTCATGTGTTTGTATTTCTTTTTTTTAGTATTCTCCTTCCTGCTATGGTAAAAGTAGTTGGCACTGGATTTCATAGGAAGGAGTGTGTAGACTGACAAACTGTAAACTGAATACAGATTTTTCTGTAATCTAACAGAGATGAGAGAAACTGAAGCAGATGTTAAATATTGTACATCAAGGATTTTCAACTGCTGATAAAAACAGTGAATTTCATTATCTGTTTCTTTCATCTCACAAACTTCTACGTTCTCTAAATGTGGAGCGACCTATACAATTTTAAAAACCGGGAATTTAGTGTCTTTGAGGATTTTTTGATGGTTACATATTATTTTTACTTTTGCATACAATCAGTATTTGCCAGAAGTATAAACTGAGATACCTCCATGTATGCTATGATTTTATATCTCTATTTCTCAATTCCATTCCCTGTGTTCAAGGTATTAAGTTATCAGAGGGTTCTGAAAAAAGCAATGTAGTATGTATGTATTTGCTTCTAGCTATAAATAACAATCTGCTTAGTAACAGTGATCCATTACTGGTTTAAATTTTGGCAAACTTTAGAAATTTAACAGGTTAGGAATGGAGAAAGTGTTGTTAATGATGGGTAATTTTTTTTTCTTAGTTCTTATTCCAGCTAGAAGAAATATGAGTTAGGAGAGAATTGAAGAAGTCTGTGGGGGATAAAATTGATCAGTCCTTATTTAAAAAGAAAAAAATGAAAGAAGAAAATTTATTGATTTAATATAATGTGTCATATTATTATGCTATAACACGATGAAATATGTATAATTACTATGCAAATCTTTTTAAATTCCTGATATTTGACTTAGGTTGGAAGGAAGCTTAAGGATCATCTAGTTCCAATCCCCTGCTGTGGGCAGGGGTGCCTGCCAAAAGGTTGGGCTGCTCAGGGCTCCATCCAAACTGGCGTTAAACACCTCCAGACATGGGGCATCCACAGCTTCTCTAGGCCTCGTCACCCTCTCAGTAAAGAATTTCTTCCAATCATCTAACCTCAGTTTTCCCTCTCAGTTTAAAACCATTCTCATTTGTCCTATTACTATCAGACTGTATAAAAAGTCAGTTCCCCTCCTGCTTATAAGCTGTCCTCAAGTACTGGAAGGCAGCAGAGAGGTCTTTTCTTCTCCAAGTTGAACAAGCTCAGCTCCCTCAAGCTTCCTTCATTAGAGAGGTATTCCAGCCCTTTGATCATCTTTGCAGCCCTCTTCTAGGCCTGTTCAAACCACTCTGCACCTTTCTTTTGCTGGGGACCCTAGGCCTGGATGCATTTCTCCATATGGGACCTTAGAAGAGCAGCATAGAGGGGGACAGTCACCTCTCTTTCCTTGCTGGTGCTCCTCTTTTGTTGCAGCCCAGGATGCAGTCAGCTTTTCAGGCTGCAAACACATGCTGCTGGCCTGTATCCAGCATTTTGTCCACCAGGATCTTGAAGTCCCTCTTGGCAGGGCTGCTCTTAATGAGTTCTTCTCTGAGTCTGTGCAGGTATCTTGAAATACCCTGACTCAGGTGTAGCACCTTGCTCTTGACCTTATTGAGTCTCATTAGGCTCACATGGAACTGCTCTTTGATTGTGTACAGGTCCCTCTGGATGGCATCCCTTCCTTCTCTTGTGTCAACTGTACCACTCAGCTTAGCGTCATCTGCAAAATTGCTGAACATACAATATGCTCAATCCTGCTATCTTTATCATTGATAAAGATGTTAAGAGCTCTGGTACCATGGAAGACCTCCAAGGCATACTGCTTTTGACCAGTCTCCACTTGGACATAGAGATACTGACAACAAACCTCTGGCTGCAACCACCCAATCAATTCTGTATGCATCGAATAGAACACCCTTCATATCCATATTTTTCCTATTTAAAGATAAGAATATGATGTGGAATCTTATCAAAGGCCTTACAGAAGTCCAAGCAGACAACGTTAGTTTCCTCTACCTTTGTTCACCAATGCTGTCACACCATCGTAGAAGGCTGCCAGATTGGTCAGGTGCAGTCTGCCCTTGGTTAAGTGGTGCTGGCTGTCTTAGATCACCTCTTTGACTCTCATGTGCCGTCACATCTCATCCAGAAGTTTCCATGATCTTTCTAAGCACAGAGGTGAGGCTCACCAGTCTGTTGTTCCTTAGGTCTTCCTTTCTCCCTTTCTTAAAAATGAGAGTGATGTTTCCATTTTTCCAGTCAATAGGGTCTTCACCTGGCAGCCACGACTTCTCATGTCTGATTAAGAGTGGCTTGGCAACTACATCAGCATAGTCTCTTCAGGGCCCTTGGATGAATCTTTTTCTGCCCCATAGACGTGTACTCATTCTGCCTCACAACGTGGTCTTAGGCTTGCTCTGCTCTGCCAGCAGGGACAAATTTTATTCCTCTGACACCTGCCTAGAGATTCAGGAGCATGAGAGGTGTGGGAAGCCTGACCGCCAGTGAAAATTGAGGCAAAAGAACTCACTGAGTACTTCAGCCTTCTTTATGTCTGTTGAAGCGAGTTCTTCCTTCTCATTTATCAGAGGGAATATGCCCTCATTGGCCTTTCTCTTCTGACCGATGTATCTAAAGATTCTTTTTTTTGTTATTTTTCACATCCCTTTCCAAGTTCAGTTCCATCTATGCCTTGGCTTATTTTCTCATGTCTGGACTGCATTCCTTCATTTTTCCCAGGCCATCCATCCCTCCTTCCACTGCCTGTACATTTCCATCTCATGCCTGAGTTTGACCAGCAAGTACTTGCTCAGCCATGTTGATTTCCTGCCTCCTCTGCTTGATTTCTTATGCTGGGGGATGGAGACCCCGTGTTCTCTCAGAAAGGTGTCCTTGAAGATCTTCCATCTCCTCTCCATTCCAATGTCTCTAAGGACATTTCCCAGGGATTCATCTAATAATTCCTAAAACGGCCCCCAAGGTTTCACCCTCCCGATGTTCAGTGTCCTGACTCAGTTTTTTTTTTGTCTATCAATATAGGCAGTCAATAAGTGCTGTGAGGACTAGGAAGATTCATGTAGAAAGCACAACTAATAGTGAGAGGGCAATTGAATCAATCCAAAAACTTTGAATCAGGTCTGAGCGTGGCTGTGACAAATATGTCCTTACAGAATTAAACTGTATACAGCTTGTAGCAGAAGGATTAGAGAGTAAGAGAAAATAGGTTATAAAAACAGTTATCATGAGTTGGCTGAATGTAGTTAAACAATTGCCTAGCCAATAGTTTTGTGTAATTATCTCTTGTTTAAATGTCAGAACTGACCATCTAAAATGTGTATAGTTGTATCTCCTCTTGTTCTGTACAATCATTTTAACTATGGTACTTAGAGGCAATGCTTTTTTGTTAACTGATGTTGCCTTTATTGCCTTCTATGGCCTTTCTTCCATAAAAGTAGAGTTTCTCAAGTGATTTACCTCTGTAATGCATCATAGTTGTTTTCAATGAGAATATTTAAATATGAGTAATTTTTTGCATATATTTCAATCTATATTATGTATAAAATACATAAACATATATAAATATGAAAACAAAAAAATCCTTATTGCTATAGTAAACTTGCATGAGCTTGGATCTGGTGTTTTGCTTTCAAGTTCGCTAAGCTGAAGGAAGCATTCCATCTGCAAACAGTAGCAGATGAAAGTGTTTTTCTTTGCACAAACAAGTATGATGTGTTTTTAATGATTTGATAGAAGTCTTAAATGCCATGTCCTGTAATATGAGCAGGTACATAGATATGAAGACATTTGCATCAGATTCCAGAAGTGTCTGAATTAATTACTGAAAATGTATTTTTGTAGTTTGGCTGTCTTTTCTACTAAGCAACTAACAAATGGATGCAATAAAAGGCCTAACCGAGAGTAACAAATCCTTTCAGAATTAACATTTTGCAGTGCATAGTAGCATCATTTTCATAAACCTCAGGCTTTGGTTTTGTTGTTTTTTTGTCAGTGTGATTTTGTATCTATAAGAGAAGTTTCATGTGCATGTTTTTAATTACTTAATGTTGTTTCAGTGTTCTCAGCAAGTCAAAATTCTATCCAGATCATAACACTTAAAATCAACAAATTCAAGAACCTAGATCTGTTAGAGCTGATGTATTTTTTTCTGAAATGCATTTTTTGAATAGAAAAGGCATGTGTATACTTCTAATTTGTATAGAAAAGTCTATTGAAAGCATGATTGAGTTTAAATTGCCATGTAGCTTTTCTACTGTATCTGATATATGATGAAGAATAACTCAGCTTTGACAAGGTTTTGAGTTTACACTTCAGAATTTTTTAGTCTAACTTCAGAATCCTTTCAGTGACAGACTGGATATTGGACAGAGATCCACAAGAAGAAATACTCAAGGCGTTCAAGTTGTTTGATGATGATGACTCTGGTAAAATAAGCCTGAGAAACCTGCGTCGGGTTGCTAGAGAACTGGGTGAAAATATATCTGATGAAGAACTGCGGGCTATGATTGAAGAATTTGATAAGGATGGAGATGGAGAAAGTAAGTATTAAGAATGGACTATATGGGATTTTTATCTCTTAATTTTCTCCCTATTTTAATGTAGCTTTATCTTTAAAATGATACAAGTGTTCTCTTTGTTTTCTTTCTATGTATCTTTCAGCTCAAATTTAGCTTATGTATAACGGAAGTAGTTTTTGATAGATATTAGTCCTGAAAATGTATAGTGGAGTCTAAAACTCAAATTCTCACCTTCACTAAGGCTTAATCAATCCATACCTATTAGAAGTTTGGTTAAAATTCTGGTGGAAGTGTAAATAATTAAGTGGTTCATGGAAGAGTCTGTGTATTACGTTAAACTTTGATGTTTGTATGTATCAATAAAAGGATTAAAAGGCCAGAAGAAGCCCTTTTCATCACCTAGTCCAATATTTCTTAAGCAGCAGTGTGTCTCTATTGTGATTTCTGCTTGTTAGTCAGATACGAGGAGTTATGCTAGTAAATCGCGCTGGGATAAGACGTGCATCTGTACTTAGGAGAGCTGAAGAACGTGATGTGAAAAATAGCTCTGAGGAAACAAGGTGCATACAGTGCGAGCTATAGAAAAGCTTTCTTAGCTAGACAAAGAATTAAGTAACAAAGCCTGTTTGAAACTATACTTATTAAGCACTGCAACTTAGAGTTGTTTGTTTGTTTGCTTGATTTTCAACTCTCTTCTTTATTTCCCCCGTTAATTTAAATCTATATTTAAACTGGAAGCCTAAATACCTGGATTTCAGGAGCCGCTCACTTAAGACAATCTGCAAATAATCTGCAAATACTCTGCATTTCTGAGTCATAGAAACCTATGTGAGTTTTTCTTTCAGGATGGTGACTCTCATCTAAGATTTCAGAACTGAAATTTCAGAAATATCAACTTTTTCAGTAGCAAAACATTTTTATTTGTCAGTAACATCTACTGCTAGAGAAAAAAAACAAAACCCACAACACCTGCCTTTTTGTCAGCCTTGTGACAGATACTTCAATCTGTGCTGCCTGTGATAGATGTTATTTCACACTTGATCATACGTCTGCAAGCTTGTTAATTGTTGGCCTGTATTTGTTTGCAGTTAGTCAAATATTGAAAAACAAACAAACAAACAAAACCACACAAGGTCCTTTTTTTTCTTCATTTTTTTTCTGAGACAAAGAGAAGAAATTCTGAACATAGTCTGTGCAGTTAAAATGCGAACTTTTTGTTTAATTTTAGTGACATAAATAGGGAGCATAAAGGCAAAAATAGTAAAAGCTCTGTGCTTTTATTGCTACTAGACTGTTAATGTTGACACTGTTTTTACAAAAGTCAGTACACTATTGAGAAGACTCTTTCTTTTGTTTGGAAGATGCTACCTCCTGATCTCACTTTATTTCCTGAGTCCATAATTCTGCATAATTCTGGTATTCCTCTATTTGTTAGACACGTCCTTCCACACATTTATTGCACTGGTATCCACTTTAGTAGCTATGCAGCAAAGAATATAAGAGATAGTCTAAGTTGACATTATTTTAAGCTTGTTTGGCTTTTAAAAGGAGTGGTTGTGATTGCACTGCCTATATTACTTATTTGTATTAAAAACTCATTTTACTTTTATTTGGAAGAAGTGAGAGCAAGTAGAATACATCAGCCATAAGCATGTTTTGTCTTTTGTTCTTCTAGAATTGCCAACTCAACTGTTAGAATGATAATCAGGGATGGTTTTGGTCATATCGCTGTTTGGCCAGTAGAAATCAATGTAAACCTTTAGCTCCTTTCAGGAAGATTATAGTTACTTTGGGATCAGCACTAAATTTCCGAGATAGTTTAGTTCATTTTCCTTATTCAACCATTAGTTTTCTTTTTTAGAGTAGTCTGGAACAAGATTGAATGTGGAAGATTGGCAGCATAATGTTTATGTGTGGTGCTGTTGTTCCTTATGGTTCTGTTTTCTGTCCTTTAAAGAAAACTGATATTGTTTCTAGCTCTTAAGATTCAGTCTCAAAAAGTAAATGATCTTCTGAGTCAGTGTTTCCTGTAGTTTCAAACATCTGGGTCATGTAACAAAGACTTGCTCTTGTCTAATTCTCCTTTATTTCCTGCCAAGGGGAAAAAATCTGTAAGTATTGGTAGTATTTTTAACTGATACTTTAAATATAGGAATTAATACCACTTAAACATTCTTATTATATTTGAAAGATATTTTATTGTTTGTTTTTTTTTTCCTAGTGAAATAAAGTCTGTAACAGTACTTCAGGCTACTTGAACCCTAGTCTTACTAGTGGAACTACTGTGCTGTACTGGTACACTTTTCTGAACTTTCTGTAAAAATATTTTTGACATTAGCATCTGCCTTGAGAAGGTAAATCATATTTTCATACTGCTGATCTTCTGAGTAACATCTGTTTTGGTGTATGCCTATTTTTAGAAATTCCATGCTGTCAATTCATTCACTTTTTTGTCTTGTGTGGATGCATCTACAGTAAACATAATCCAGTTTCAGTTTTAGATTCTTGCAAAGAATTAGGGTTGGAGGGAAAGCTCCCCTAAATTAACTTCACTCTCTTTTTAACTCTTGGAGAGTTTCTTAACTCTTCAAGTCAATGTTTTATTCATTTTAGCTGTAAGAATACTTACTTTATGGTGATATATGTCATGAAAATAATGGATGTCTGACACTAGGAAGGGCAGTGGTTGCTGCCCTAGCACCTGCTCGTTAGGTAGCTTGTGAGAGATCTGGAGTCTGAGGAGGATTACTTGGGTTGCTGGGATTGCATCTCTCTTTGCACTTTGATTGAATGTTGCAAAATTTGTTTACCACTGTAATGTTGTATTTCCACTTTGCAGCATTATGGAACAGATGTGTTTTGGGTCAGGAAATGTTCTGCTGAGGGTGTTTGCGTTTGTAGTTCTTCAAAAATTTCTTTGGCTTCTAGATTTAATGTGCATGTAGTATTGAAACTGGCTATGTAATATTTGTGGAATAGTCTTTAGAGATTATATGAGAAAGAGCTGGGTAGAAATTTTGTCAGAAGAAGGTAGATTAGTAGGAATACTATAAGCATACCTAGTTTTTTGCCTTCATTTATTTACTTTATTTCTTGTTACGCAGGTAGCACCGCTAGTCTCAGCATTGTTCTTTAGCAGAGAAAACATTACTTCTTTTTGATGCTTTTTTAAATTTTCCTTGTGTATTTTTCAGTAGTCCACATGTAACTGGGCAGCACATTAAAGACTTCAACTTATCCAACATTTTGTAAATATAGTAGGAAAAAAGCAGCACCTCAGTACATTGTGGAAATGTTTCCTATTTCTATTTTAGTTGTTTAACCACTCCTGTAACAGTGTTTCCCCTAAACTCATGGCAGAAACAATAAATTCCAAAAATCACAGCAGATTTTAGCCTTTGTGAGGTGAAAATACAACCAAGAGGTAAAGATTGTAAATATTGGTCATTCTACCTGATAATACCTTGGATCTGAACCGTTGCAGCTCTTGATGAAATATCCTCAGTTACAGTAAATCAAGTTGATCATCCACATTATACTGAATAGCAGGCCTATTTGATAACTATGGAAAAGTATTTTCAAATCCATATGTTACAGTTAAAATTACAATCCACTACTTCCATTTGTATATACAAGAAAATACATTGATCTTCTATTTAGGTTTTTTTTTCTTTGACTTTATTACCTAATGTCCTTCTTGCAGAATTCTTGCTGAAAAGGTGAAAATAACCTAAGTAATGTGTAGTTCCTACTTTTGCCTCATCTCCCATTCTGTGTCTGAAACTTGCCCTATGGTTGGTAGTGTCCTGAAGCAGTAACACCGAAATAAGCTACTTTGAAATTCATTTGGTTCTTCATATTGGACTGTCAGGCTGAGCTGCTGATGTGCCTGCAGGCTTGCCTTCAAAGGAGAACATTTGTATCATGCTCAGTAATCATTTGGCTGATGGGGATACTGTATGTCCAGGGCAGTGGTCTCAACTTGATTGTTTAGGGGAAAAAGTTGTTTAAAAAAAAAAATTAAAAAAAAGTAAGTCACTTAAGGGTTCTCTGGTTTCTGAGAAGGTGAAAGGAAGCTGTGATTTTTTTCAAACCATGAGGGTGGATAAGCATAGTAACCTTGGAGACATTTTACAGCTTAATGAGGCGAAGGCCTGAACAACATGATTTAGCTACTGTGCTTTGAGTAAGGGGTTCAAATATGAGTTTTGGATTAGTGTTCAGTAACTCTAACAGTATTTAAAAGTTTATAAGTGTAATTAATTTATCAACATGGATTAATGCATTAGTCATCTTTTAATAGTTTTGGTACATTTACTGAAATTATTTGTTGAATTAGAAGAAATTCTGAACTTATTCTTCTTTGAATGCCAACAATGATACATATTTATTTACTTTGCATTTCCTCTAGGTATGCTCGAGCCACTTAATTCAGAGCCTTGAATAAGATTCACTTAAGACTAGAGAATAGCTTTCAAAAACAACAGTAGAAGAGAACAGGTGTAAAATAATGGAAGGTAGTCCAAGCTAACAAATTGTCCCTCTTCACCAATGTTTTACTGCTTTGAGAGTAGGCAATGGCTTCACACTATCAGCAGCTTTATGCCACTAATTTATTGAATTTACTAAGTTAGACCATAGTACATATGAAGTTATGTCTGTACATGATGGCATAAAGCTGAAATATCCTTTCTTACTATAGTGTTTTTATGCCATGTACATGCAAAAAGAGTTAACAGTATTCTTCTGTTCCAGCTTGTTTTTAAAGTAATTACATGTACTATTAATGGGAGGGAAAGAAGAAGCAATCCCAGTATCCTTTTACATACTTCTGTTTCATTCATGAATCAAACCATGTGAAACCTCAAGCCTGGTTTTAATTTTAGTTGTGTGTCAGAAAATGAATAAGTAGTATTGCTATCTAAGGAAAGAGTTGCTTTCATCTTTAAAATCCTAGTACTTTCAGCAGACAACTTGAAACATACCTGAATTGTGATGTTTTAGGATGAAGCTCGATTTCTGTGGTCACTTGTCTTGCCGGATATGTATGCGGCTCCATCTAATTTCTTTTCTTACAACACTGATTAAGTTTTATCTCTGAATTTGTGTTTAATGTGGCTTACTGAAAAGCTACTTTGGACTCCAAATATATCCTGCAGATAACTGCTATTGGCAAAGGTCATACACACAGAGACTATTGCTCTTTTCTTCAAGTAAACAGTGAAAATAATAATTATTGTAAGCAAGATAATCTGTAACTATCTTTCAAAACAAGTCATAGACTTTGAGATGTATTCTTTTTTGAGTTACACTTTTATGTATAGCTTAAAACAATCTTATAACCTCAATGAGTGAAAATAGGTTGCAACATTATGCTTGTTGAGCAATGTAACTAAATCAAACAGCTATTATTTTATATGCAATAAAGCCTTAATTGATAATTCCAAACTCTGGAAAATGAATGTCATTCTTTTGTGGTAACTGACAATTAATTGAACAACCCTTGAGTGTAAAGCATTAAAATACAGAGTCAAAATAGGCCCAAACCCATCTGTTTTACTTTCTGAAATCTGTCAGGTTTTTTTTTCCCCATTGCATCCTTCAACCTTCACTTTGCAGAATCAAACAGATAAGTATTAATGCACAGAAGTTTCCACTATATTTTTTGTAATCATCCATTCTGACCTCTTATCCCTGTTTTTATTTATTTTGGCCAGTATTCCAAACATGTTTCCATTTTAAGTTGCTAGTACTGTTTCTCAGGAATTTCATATCTTTTCAATATCTATCTTTCTACTATTAATCTTTTGATTTTTTTTTTTTTTTTTTTTACTTATTGCTAGCCACTACATTATATGAACAATAATGCATTGAAGAATAATTAAAGTGGAAAAGACATGTTAGTAGATAAGGGAGAACTTTATATATATATTTATATTTATATTTAATTTATAACTTATATTTATAATAAATACTTTTAACATGAATTGGTTTAGCTTTCCTCTGGCTGTAGATGTAACTCCTGCTTTGCAATGATTTGTTCAGGAATAACTTGGGCACACTGTCTGAGGCAGATAAGTGTCAAGGACAGTTTGTCATACAGTTGTCTGTTCTTTTGCATATCACTGATTTAATCTGTTAATTCTGCACTACAGTAATTAGTTGCAGAGTGAACATTTCAATGGTTAACTCTTTTATAGTGTTTCTGCTTTAACATATGAGTAAGGTCAATAGCTCAGGTATAATGCATTAAAATAATTAATGACTGCTAATTAATTTATTATTATTACTTAATTTCTTCAAGTACATTTGTGTTAAGTTTCTGTTAATTATAAATGTTGAATGAAGAAAGTTCAGGTGGGAGAAAAGCTTGTCAAAAGTCTGTCTTAATTCAAGCTAATTTGTAGAATCATTAGTAAATTATCTTGAAATTCATTTTTTATTTGTTCACTGTTACAGCTTTGGGAGAGGAAAACCATGGTGTGAATGTGTGCTTTTTTGAGTTATTTTGTCGTTTTTGCTTCTCTGGGGGGAAGATGGTAACACAGAACACAAAGGTCTAAATTATTGTTTTAAGAACAAAATAGAATTTGATCATAAGTAGAACTGCGGATTTGTTGTTTGAGAAGCATATGCTATGTATTGTTATGGTTTTAACATATAAAGATATTAAAAATGGAAATAAAGTGCTGTAGTTTTTCTGAGTTGTATTTTAAAATGCTTTCCTAATTTTTATTTTTAATTTCTAAAATATTTTTACTTTCAGAATTAGAAGTAATAATTTTTTATTTATGAGCCAAATTCTGTCTTAAGAATCACATGTAGTTAAGATTGCATTCTGATTTCATTTCACATTTAAAAAAAAAAAAAAAAAGAAAAAGAAAATTCTGTTTTGGAAGAAAAAAAAATCAAATTTGCATGTCTGTCACACCCAATAAATACAGAGTTGGAAACTTTCAATTTAAGAGTGCAATATGCATATGCATATATCCATTGGACTGGATGATCTTTTAGGTCTTTTCCAACCTTGGTGATTCTATATGTACATTATTTTCTCTTATGGTTTATGGGTATTTGCTGTTTGTCTAATAATTGTCTTTTTCTTTACAGTCAATCAAGAGGAGTTCATTGCTATTATGACTGGAGATATTTAACATTGGAAGAGAAGAAATGAATTTATCACAAAAGGGAAACATTGTTGGCATCTGCCATTAGAGTATTTTGTAGTTTGTTTCTGTTCACGGAGTCAAGTAGAAAATTATTTTCCTCAGAGGTCCAAAATAAACACAAGTCTTATATACTGCTGCTTTGGAACTTTATGTCATTAAATCTCATCACTAGAGTAAGTGATCATGTTAATACAAGTAATACTACATTTCAGAGTATTTTAGTGCTCATTTGTAAAATAGCTTTGTATAATATTTCTAAATTAAATCCTATTATAAGAACCTTTTGAAGTTGGCTTTATGTTAGCACTGACTGCGGCCTTAGTTTTGATACATGAAGTTTGACAGGTTTCCATTTTAATAAAATGCTCTTTACTATTGCTACTGAAAACTCTTGGTTTTTTGTTTAATTTGAGCTATAATTTAAAATCCGTCAAATAAATGTGTGTTTTGTTCTTTTTATAAGCTTTTACTTCTGTTGTAGTTGAATAGTAACATTAAACGAACAAGATTTATATTATCAAAGTTACAATTTACTAGTTATTACTCCTGTATGACGGTAGAGGGCAGGCAACTGTATTAGGGTAGATACTATATCACAAATATGCTTTATCATCCAGATGTCAGCTAGCAGTCTTTTTTCTGTATCTACACTTCTGATAGCTGTGGCAATAATGGCAAGTGTTTGTGACAAGATGCGGTTTTTTGCAGTATCTAGCTAGGACGAAAGTATATATGGAATGAAGAGAAAGCTGAGGCTGTTCAACCTGGAGAAGGCTCCAGGGAGTCTGAGGGCAGCCTTTGAGTGTCTGAAATGGGGACAGTAAGAAAGATGGAGACAGGCTGAAGCAGAGTCTGTCGTGACAGGAGAAAGGGAAATGGTTTCAAACTAAAAGATGGAAGACTTAGTTTGGATACAAGGAAGAAGTTATTTATAGTAAGGATAGTGAAGCACTGGAACAGTTTGCCTAGTGGTGATGATCTCCCCATCCCTGGAGAGATTCAACATCTCTGTATGGGGCTCTGAGCACTCTGCTCTAGCTGTAGGTGTCCCTGCTCATTGCAGGGGAGTTGGCATGGATGACCTTTAATGGCCCCTTACAACTCAAATGATTCTGTGATTCTATGAAGATGTGAAGCAGTTAGAAACATTGAATGTGTGTCTAGCTTGCCAGGAGTCTTCCAGGATTATGAGGTTGATCTTCCAGATTTCCTGTCTACTGGTCGTAGCTTCTGCCTCTTAAATTTCAAATTGATTTCTCTCCCCTTACTTGTCAAAGAATTTAAATTTGTTTTGCCTAATTCCGTGATCATCTTTCTTGTTGGAAAACCAGCTGTTTTTTAATTTTGTATTCCTGGGGTTGTGAACAAGTTTGCCCTGCACAAACAAACACAGCTTGCAGTTTGGGTTCAGTTGGAGACTGAGATTAGAGCCAGCAAAGTTAATAGTTTTTTTTCCTATTATTTTTCAATTGTGTATTACAAAATTCTTATCTATTAAATAATCACAAAATCACAGAAACGCCAAGGTTGGAAAAGACTTACAAGATCATCCAGTCCAACCATCTACCTATCACCAATAGTTCTCACTAAACCATATCCCTCAACACAAAATCCAAACATTCCTTGAACACCTCCAGGGTCAGTGACTCTACCACCTCCCTGGGCAGCCCATTCCAGTGCTTGACCACTCTTTCAGAAAAGTAGTATTTCCTAATGTCCAGCCTAAATCTCCCCTGGTGCAGTTCAAAGCCATTCCCTCTAGTCCTATCACCAGTTACACAAGAGAAGAGGCTGACCGCCAGCTCACTACAACCTCCCTTCAGGTAGTTACAGAGAGCAATAAAGTCTCCCCTGAGCCTCCTCTTCTCCAGACTGAACAATCCCAGCTCCTTCAGCCGCTCCTCATAAGGCCTGTGCTCCAGACCCCTTACAGCTTTGTTGCCCTTCTTTGAACACAGTCCAGGGCCTCAGTGTCTTTCTTGCAGCAAGGGGCCCAGAACTGGACACAGTACTCAAGGTGCGGCCTCATCAGTGCTGAGTACAATGAGACAATCACTTCCCTGTTCCTGCTGGCAACACTGTTCCTGATGCAAGTCAGGATGCCATTGGCCTTCTTCACCACCTGGGCACACTGCTGGCTCATGTTTATCCGAGCATCAGTCAATACCCCCAGGTCCATTTCCTCTACAGTCTTCCAGCTACTCATTCCCAAGCCTGTAGCATTGCCTAGGGTTGTTGTGGCCAAAGTGCAGGACCTGGCACTTGGCCCTTTTGAGCCTCATCCCATTGGCTTCAGCCCAGCCATCCAGCCTGTCCGGATCCCTCTGTAGAGCCTCGCTACCCACAGGCAGATCGACACTTCCAGCCAACTTGGTGTCATCTGCAAACTTAATGAGGATACACTCAATGCCCTCATCCAGGTCATCAATATAGATATTGAAGAGGACTGGCCCCAGCACCGACCCCAGGGGAACACCACTCGTGACAGGTCACCAGCTGGATTTAGCTCCATTCACTACCACTCCACTCTCTGGGCACGGCCTTCCAGCCAGTTCCTTACCCAGCCAAGAGTGTACCTGTCCAAGCCACGGACTGCCAGCTTCTGCAGGAGAATACTGTGAGAGACAGCGTCAAAGGCTTTGCTGAAGTCTAGGTAGACCACATCAACAGCCTTTCCCTCATCTACCAGATGGGTCACTAGATCATAGAAGGAGATCAGGTTGGTCAAGCAGGACCTACCCTTTGTGAACCCATGCTGGCTAGGCCTGATCCCCTGGTTGTCTCCCATATGCCATGTGATCTCCTTTAAGATGATCTGCTCCATAACCTTCCCTGGCACCGAAGTTGGGCTAACAGGCCTGTACTTCCCCGGATCCTCAAACAACCCTTCATATAGATGGGAGTCACGTTGGCAAGTGTCCAGTCTTCTGGGATTGTTCTCTAGTAGGGTTTCGATATCAATGCACTCATACTGTAAGTTAGAGCAACTCAAGATGACTAGCAGTGGCTCCATATCACTCATCAAGTAATGTAAATGGACACCTCAACTTGAAGCCCAGTAGGTTATGTGGCCATTGACTGCGATTCCCATTGTGGATCACTCTGAGAGAAGTCTTGAGAATAACTTTTGCTAGGAAGGGTGGTTCTTTTTGCTTAAATATTTTCATTATGATTTTAGCAAAATAAATGATGAAAATATAATTAGGAGAAAAGGTATGGATAAAATTATTAAGAAATTAGTGGGAGTAATGGAGTGTTGGACTCTGGTATTCAATAGGAAATGCAGTCTTATTAATAGTCAGTTGATGTCTCAGTCTTTAAGTTTAAGTAAATCTTCCTTTGTTTTATATTGAAAGCTGATTTTATAAACATGTTCTTGCTCAACCAGTAGGTAGCATGAAATATTTGCATTATGAAGGTTGGTGTCCACGAGGAAATACTTGATATGTTCAATATGGGTATACTTCATTTTATACTGATTTCAGTATAAGTGTAAGAAAGCAGGAAAATGAGTTGAAGAACTATGCCAGACAAGAGAAAATCTTGCTTCAGAATAAATACAGCAAATTTCTCCCCAGTCATGTGAAATGCTTTAGAGTCCAACAGCAAAACCAAACAAACTGTAAAGCTTCCTTTTAAATAAACAAAAACAAACAAAAAATCCCCACACCTACCATTTAAAGAACCAAACAAAAACAAATCTTTAACAAATATTTTGCAATCTCAGCAGATTTGTTTAAGGAAGGAATATTGAAGGGCAAAGATATAGTGTTTCAGAATGAACTGGTTGTAACTTTGTGAAGAGCAAAGCAGATACTGTCTTCTTCAGTAGTTCCTGGCTTTGCTTTTAACATCTTACATAAATGGTTTTAGGACATTTTCCGCAGACAGTGAAAGTGATAGAAAACTTAAACCGGTCTCTTAACAGTCATCATAAAGCATTTCTTCACTAAGTATCCTGCCCTTATTTTGAACGTTCTAGTTTTCTAATACTCCACTGTGGTTCTTGAATGAGTTTTGGGTTATTTTTTATGGGGATATTACTGCTCTACTTCTCTGAAGATCACTGATAATTAATTCTTGATAGTTGTTGCTCTTGGTTTGTAACTGGTTCAGTAAAATGCATGTTTTCTCCTCTGAATGGAGGTTTTATTACAAACTTTTACAATATGCTTTCTTTTTTCTTACTAAAATGGCACATACCAGCAGTTGTTACAGGCTACATAACAACAGTCTGCCAAGATCTGTAAGTGCAGGTCAGTGAATTGGAGAGTTCTTGCAAGCTCAGATTGCTGGGGTAGTGTAGAAAGAGAAGAAAGGAAGCAAAGAAACATTCAGCAAAATGTTTGGTGATACTGTCATGATATTTGCCTTTGCCTTTTTTCTGTGTTTCATATTTGTGATTTTTTTTCGAAGCAAAATGTTTCATAGCAAAAAAGTTTGTTCTGTGCTGCTGATTACTGAGCTTGTGCTTCTTGCTGTTTTGTGTGCTGTGAGTGTTGCATTTGATGTTGGCTTTCCATGGTACTCACTAACCAATGCTGTAACAGGCCGGAGTCCACCATTTGGTAATCTATGCTCTGTGATCTGCTTGGCCCTAGAATTAACACAAGAGGAACTCACATGTATCCTGACACTTGGTAGTTTGTCATGTACTCATAGAGTACATGCTCTTGTTCTTTGTCTTTTCATTCTTTGTCTGATACCAGAGGAGAAGGAATAGTGATTTGATGACATCTTGTCTGTCATACAATAGTATCAAGATTCAACTGTCATAATTACATCTTTATAAACCACACTGTGAACACATAGTATATCATACTACTTGAAATACAGAGGTGGGTCTGCTCAAGATGGTACAAGTTGAACTGGAGTAGGATAAGTTCTTTGTCAGCCCTACTCTTGAGAGCACTGGTGTCTAGTAGAAGTCCAGAAAGGTAGCCAAAGGAAAACCTTAATGCATTATAATAAAATCTGCTAGAACTTCTAATCAAGGGCTTCCACTAAGAACACTTTAACTGTGCCAGCAAGTCTATCACTTCTCTAGTTAATCCCATGTAGCTCTGAGGAAATTCAGAACCTCTGAATGGGTAGAAGTACAGTGTAAGCATGTTGTATAACAAATGTTACCCTGCTAACTTATTTTAGAACAGTCTTCTCAAACAAAGGATTGTCAAGACAGGCATTTTTGATTTGTACTTTTTCCTGGGAAAATTTTGTGGAATGATTAAGTCTCTGAAAGTCAGATAATGCCAGCATATGCCTCATCTGTGCAGGAGGAATTGTAGCCCAAAGAGGAGAGCATCTAAGTCCATGCTGGCATCTGTGTCCCTGGACATAGCTCATGGGTACATGAGCTTGCTTGGGACAAGCGTTTTAAGATGGTCTATGTGTTATTACT